CCCCAAAACCCCAAAACCCCAAAACCCCAAAACCCCAGACCTACATATATAGCTTGAATTTAGAACGATTTGCACACTTCTTTGAACTTCGCCAAATTCTAGGTTTTTCTAGAAATCTAATGATAAACTGGATTATTATTGCATTTCTTGATGTATGTTTCTAAGTCATTGTAATCTATCTCTTCTTTCTCTTCCATTGAAAATGTGAGGTCCTCTAGGACTTTATCTACCTTGTTTTCGTATCCCTTAGCCTTTGACTCGTTAGCTCTTTGATTTATCATTTTATTGATGTTTTGGTCATCTTTATTATTTTCTTTTGTTCATTCTTTATTTCCTTTAGAGAATGATTTTTCAAAAGCTCCAACAGTTTGATACATCCAGTCGTCAATTTCTTCTATGTTTGAGGAAGCTTCATTCTTCAACCCTTGATTTGCTGATCCCTTGTTTTTATTGAATGAGTTGGTCACTTGGTTAATAATTTCGTTTTCATCAAGAAAATCATCCAGCTCAATGCTAGCAGATACAACAGGATTCTCATATTCACTTGAACTTGAAGATGAGTTGTTTTCGAACCATTGAGGAGGTTCTTGAGTCCTTCTGACTCTTGTGTCCTTGTATGCTTTTCTTCCTCTGTTGCCCAGCTTTCTTATTTTCCCTGAGTTGATTCCTCCAATAATAAAGCTTGTTTTTGCAATGACAGGAATATTCTTACTGTTTTCTGCACTTTTTGACCAACTTCTTTCTCTTTCTCTGTTGTTATGAATGGTTTCAGCTATTTTAGTCTGCACTTCTGCGCTTGAAGGTGGTGAATGAGATCTGGCCCTTCTTTGGAATGGGAATAAGAATTTTGAAGGGTCCTCTTCATCCACATTCTCTTCTGAGCCGAAGAAAGCCCTCTTGCCAGCTACAATTCCACTTCCAACAGTGTTCTTTGAATCTGAATTCATAAAATCATTGGGCGAAGCCATATGGTGGCTTGTACTTTGAGTGAAATACTCAGAATTAGTTGATTTATCATTTGGATTATTTCAGATAGCAGAGTTTTTAAAATCTTCCTCTTTAGGAGAAGATTTATACTGGAAGAATCCAGCGAGCTTATTCATATCATCTAATGCATCTTTGATTCCATGCTTTTTCATCTCTCCCATGAATTTTATACCTGTATTAGCTTTCTCTGTTTCTTTCTTCTTTTGAAGAAGTCCGGGAGATCCAAATCTGTTGTTGAATGGCTTCTTTGCTTGATTAGTAACATTGAGTCGATATATAGAGCTACTGTCGGTATCTCTACATGATAAGTTAAGCTTATACATACTTTGGGTTCAAAACTTGGCTAGGAATAGGACTAGAAGTATTGATATGGATCTTCTTTCTTTCAATATAATTCTTGTTTTCTTTCCTTTCTGATCCTTTGCTGTCTTTCCTACTTAATCCATTATTATTTTCTATATCTTTCATGTAGATTTTTTTCCTTGAGGAACTATTTCTCTGAACTCTTAGACTTTTGAGGTTAGTTTTAGGAGAGAATTCATCCTTTCTGGTCGGCTTCGTCTTATCTTTTCTTGTTGAAGCTTCGATAGATTTCAGGGTCTTTCTTGAGTTACTCAGTTGCTCTTTTTTATTCTTCCGGAAAGGTTTGTCTCTTCTACCAACCTCAAAGCCAAAGTTGCCGTTGTTTAGATAACTTAATTCAGATTCTTTGCTTCCTCTTGAATCTCTTACTCTGTGTTGTAGCTTAGAGCTTAATTTCCCTGGAAAATTAATGTTTAGTCTTGAGGACTCAGCATTTTCTCTGTGAGAAGGCTGAGATATGAAGTTGTTATGAAAACTCCCTTCTGAACTTTGGTGTTCTCTATAAAATAATAAGAAAGCATTACCCATAATTGGCTTGACCTCATCTTTGAGGAGAAGTGAATTCACTTCCTTTACTTCCACTTGAGAATTTAGGTGCCTTTATCATTTTGAGCTCTTTCTTCTTTTCACCTGTTTAAAGTTATAAGTGACCGAAGAACATTTTCAAGATATCTTTATAGAAAATGGAGAAGAATTAATGGCTTGGCAAAGGAAAGTTTATGTTTGAGAAGAATAAATGATAAACTTCTACCCCATGGTCATTATATTTGTTAAGTAAGTATTTAAAATCTTGGAGATGAGAGACAGAAATGATGATTTTCTTCTGCTTAAAATTTTTTAATTTTTTTGGCTGAAACTATAAATACTTAAATTTTCTTATGTTTGAGCATTATTTATTTTATTTGGTGAGTTGAAAATGCTAGATTGTAACAATTTAGCAAGAAGAATAATCAAAAAGTTCATATTTAAAAATAATTTTCTTTAACTATGAGCCATAGTCCAAATATTATCATTAAAACCAAAATATTCAAAATCACTAATCTGAGATCTTCTTCCTTGCTATCTTCACTAGGATATTAAATTCCATTCTTACTAAACCACCCTCACTATTACATCCTTCTTTCCAATCAGATTCCTCCTCAAACCTTAAACAATGCTCCAAAGCTCTTCTCTCTAATTCTCTCCTTCCCATATCCTACTTCCCTTGACCCTATCCAAGCCAGCTAGATTTCTTACCTTTCTGTCTATCTTTCCCCTTGCTTTCATAACTATTATTGGTCCTAAACTCTCTCAAAAACTCACTTACCCATGGTTTGGCTTCATTGGCGGATTTTTGTAAAACTCGCGCTAATTTTATAATTCAAACTTGACCTGACAAATTGGGGTTTTGGGGTTTTGGGGTTTTGGGGTTTTGGGG